TTTATTTGTGATTTTCTGAATAGCAAAGGCATTGAACACTTATTTATTCATTCAAGGCATGTTGATTGAGAATATATTGACTACGTCCAAGGCATAGCAGATTCTGTAAGGAGGACAAAATTGAGTAAGATACACGCCTGTAAAAACTAATAGCTCATCCTTTTATACTGCTTTAAGTTTTACAAAGTGCTTTACTTATATTTTCTTAACTAAAGGGCTTTTCTTAATTCTCTCAATTGAACTATACAATATCCTTGTGAAATAGGTGCATTTGTTACTCCCATTTTACTGGTGCATAAACTGAAGATCAGAGAGGTTGCATAACTTGCCTAGTCTAGGGCAGGATTCAAGCCCAGGTCTTCCCAACTTCAAGTCTTATGCTTTATACACTATATTGCATGCCTCTTACAATGAGTTTGTACCCTAGACAGGGATGGGAAACATGTGGCTTTCTAGGTCCTCGAGTGCAGCTCTTTGAACTGAATCCAAACTTGGCAGAATAAATCCCCTTCATAAAATTATTTGTTCTGTAAAACTTGGACTCAGTCAAAAGGCCACACCCAAGGACCTAGAAGGCCACAGGTTCCCCACCCCCCTAGAAACAGAGAATCTCAGAGTTGGAAGAAACCTTAAAGGTGGAATATCTGGTCCAAGTTGGACCCGATCAGGAGTCTCCTTGACAGTACAGGTCAGAAATTTTCATCCTACTACTGTTTCAATACCTCCCTCAGTAACAGGAGAGCTCATTATTTTGTGGCGGCCTGTTCCATTTTTGAACAACTCTAGTTCTTAGGATTTTTTCCCTTAGGAGCCAAACTTGTCTCCGCATCTTCTTTCTATTATTCCTAGTTTTATTCTCAATTACCAAATAAAACAAGTCTATTTTTTTTCTCTTTCCATGATGATAAGCTTTCAAATACTCAAACACCATTATCAGGTCCCAACTAAATGTCCTCTTTTCCAGGCAAGTTATCCTCATATTGTTCATAACTCTTAATATTCTGGTCACCCAACTCTGGAACTGCTTCACGTTGTCCATATTGTCCGTAAAATATGGTGGCCAGAATTTAACACAATATTCCAGATGTGGTTAGACTAGTGTGGAAGATAGCCAGATCACAGTTTCTCTTGTTCTGGACACTATGTTCTGGACGCTCTGAATTCATTCTAGAATTATTATGATTTTTTTTTGGCTTCCATTTCACATTGTTGACTCATATGGAGTTTGTAATCCATTATGTCCTCTTATCTGGTCCTCATCCTGTGGTTTCCCCTCCACCCCCAAATGAGTTGTTGTCTATCCACCCTGTACTCTTTGTGCTTGTACTTAAAAATAGTGATTTTTCCAGCCCCAAAGTAGAGTTGTGACCCAGGACATGAATGGAATCATTGTATAATGGTGGCCATTACCAAAACCCACATAAATACTAGCCACCAGTAATAATAACAATAGCTTTCATTTATATAGTACTTTAACATTTTGCAAAGTGCTGTACCAATATTGTCTCCTTTTAGTGCCACAAACTCTGGGAGGTAGGTTTTATTATTATCTTACTTTATAGATGAGGGAACTGAAGCAGGTAGTTTACATGACTTGCCCAGGGTCACACAGATTAGTAAGTTTCCAAAGCTGGATTTGAACTCAGGTTTTCTGATTCTAGGTGAATTGCTTCATCCACTCTGCCACCTAGATGCCACTCAAAAAAAATCAGCATACAAATCAGAAGTTCTCAATCTTTTCTTTTTCTTAGACTGCTTTGGTAATCTGATGAAGCCTATGAATTCCTTCTTAAAATCATGTTTATAAACGTAAAAAATAAAAGTATAGGAGTACAAAGAAAACCAAATATACTGAAAAATATTTATCAAATATTTTAAAGAACCAAAGTTAAAACACCCTCAATTTAAAAGTAACCAAACATCTCACATATATTAGGATATATCACTACTATCAGAAGGAAATTGATAGGACTATCAACACATACACGCACACACTTGCTCACGCACACACACGCACACACACATTCATTTGTTACAATTCCACCCTCATTTCCTTTTGATATTGTGTGAACAGGGTGACTAAGGCATCCAGCTACCGGGCCTTGTCAAATTATTCTCCTTATTAGGTGAAGCAGCAGCACTCTAGGCAATTGGCAGGTGTTTCACAGCCTAACTCCCTACATAGTTATTAACTGGTCATTTGAGAGATGCCAAAAATTCTGCCTGAAGATTCGTTTCATTTTAGTTGTTTTTTTTTTTTCATTTTTACTTTGGATATCTGGGAGGAAAATTAACTTTCAGCTTGAAATTCTTTTTGGCATTACCTACACAGAGTTGAATTATTATGGGAACTTAGAGAAAACACTTGGATTGCTACAAACATAAGGTGGAGACTATAATATTGGTAGTGGTCATTCTTGTGAGACAGGTAGTGTAGGGAATAGAGTGCTATACTTGGAGTCAGGAATACTTAGATTCCCGTTCTTTCTCAGATATTGGTCTTGAGAAAATCACTAACTTCACTGTGCTTCAGTTTCCTCATCTGCAAAATGATGGGGTTGGACTTGGTCACCTCTATAGTCTCTTACAGATATGCATCAATCATTCTATTAAGTATGTATTTTAATATGTTATCTATTAATTAAATAAAATCTGGTAATGGTCACAATGGCAACTAGGTGGTGCAGTGTATAGAGTGCTGGACCTGGAATCAGGAAGACTCATCTTCCTGAATTCAAATATGGCCCCAGACATTTACTAACTGTGTGACCCTGGGCAAGTCACTTCACCCCTTTTGCCTCAGTTTCCTTATCTGAGAGAAGGAAATAGCAAACCACTCCAGTATCTTTGCCGAGAAAACCTCACATGGGGTCATGAAGAGTCATTTCAGACTGACCAACAACAATGGTCACAACTCTCTTTTGGGACTGGAAAGGTCATGAATAAATTTAACTGGAATGGTGAAAGTTTAGAATGGGAGAGGTATTGATACATTACAGGCACACACACACATATATATATACATATACATATATGTATATGTATATATATACACACTAATATTGTTGTACAGTATTATTGGATTTTAACTCATTCTTTTATCAATAAAGCCCATATGAATCAGATAAGCATCTTTCATTGTCTCTAAATTATTTGAATACATTGCATCTGGAAGGTATTACAGATGTCATTTAATCCAACTTCCTTATCTTACACATGAGGCAACAGAGACACAGAGAAGTTAAATGATCTGATTGACCATTGTTATACCGGAAGTTAATGGCAGAACCTAGATTCTTTGCTTCCAGTTACTCACTCTAAGCTTATCACTAGAATGTCAAAATTTCTTCATATTCTAGAAAAACCATTGACCCAAAGGTTAAAAGTTTTGTTTAGATCTATTTTGTGTTGTTATGCTGTTTACCAAAACCCAGGTTATGAAGGAAAATTGCTTCAAGTGGATTGATTTAACATAAAATGTTAGATCATACATAAAAATGTATTCTGAAAATAGTTGAAAATGTGAGCCAGTGTAAGAAATATATCAATGATCTCTGGACTTTATTTGGTCAATTGTCAATTGTTCCTCTTTCCAGAATATGAAATTAGGAACAGCTTACTGTCTTAGGGGCACTTGTTCAGATTTAAAATAAATATCTCCAGATGTCCTTGTTTTATGTAGTAAATTACTGTGGCAGTGGAGCTAATATTTGACTTTACTGTTAGAAACATTTTCTTCCTGTGATTACAGTGTTCTGAAAAGAATTGCTATAATATTCAGGAAACTAATATTATGTTTGGTTCAAACTTGTACAAAAATGCAGGTATTATCTTTCTCTAAATGTTAAAACCCTTTCCCCAGTAAAGATAAACAAAATTATTTATATTAGACTTACTTGCAACCTGTCTATGATAGCTATCAACTATATTTTAAATTTGAATTCCATCTGTGCAGGTTTAGTTACCATTGTAATTGATTATATTTTTACCTTGTTTACCTCTTTACCCCTTTATGTTGTTAAAACTTTAATTTCTTCCTTTGAAAGGTAATATGATTTTAAGTTTATGTATTATAAAAAAACCATTGTTACAAAATTCAACAGATTTGTATTAAGAACCTATTTTGTACAAGGTACTGTCAGAGCACACAAAGATTAAAACAGAACAGCCCATTGAGTTGTGTTGACTTAGAGATGTTCCTTCAGCATTCCTCCCACCGCCCCCATTTCTGTCGTTCTCATTCATTTGTACCTTTTAGTGAGTTGGCAAATGGCAGACATTTATGAATAAAGGTTGATAGGTCACTGTTAGGTGGTAGAGTGGCTAGAGCATTGGACTTGCAGTCAAGAAGATCTGAGTTCAAATTCTGCCTTTTATACTCATTAGGTATCTAACCCTGGGGAAGTCACTCAACCTTTTTCAGCCTTAATGGCCTCTTCAATAAAATGGAAATAATAATAGAACCTACCTCACAGTGTTGTTGTGATAATCAAATATGTGAAACACTTTGTAAATATGTATGTAAATATTTTATATACATGCAACTGTACAGTTTTATATGTGTTCAATTATTATGATTCTTAGAAATCATGTTCAAAATAAATTATTAAATAACTTAAAGGCTAAGTGGAATTAAAAAATTATAAAATGGATGGGGATACTAGCTATCAAAATGGGTAATGATTCCATTGGTTTCAGTAAAAATGTTATTGGGTCAAATCTGTTCAGGCTAAGTATGTATGTGTGTGTGTGTGTGTGTGTGTGTGTGTGTGTGTGTGTATATATATATATATAAATTGATTATTTATTAAATTTAACATTAAATATTAGATAGTAACAGAGTAGTAAAATTTGTTTTCTTATGGGGATGATGATGATAAATGAATAGCAAAGTATTTTCATCATTAAAAGGAGGAACTAACCTCTTTTAATTGGATTCTTTTTTTTTTTTCAATTTCAAGCTGTTCACATATTTAAATGATTTCAAATTTTATTTTCAGGGTTGTTCTGGTTCTGGCTGTGGAAAATGTGACTGCCATGGAGTGAAAGGCCAAAAAGTGAGTATTCCAAATGCACATATATACTGTTCCTTTTGAATTCTCACCATCCAAGAAAGAGTATTTACAAAATGTGAAAACTAAAATAAAAAAAGCATAACCTGGGATGCAACCTTACTACTTTTTAAAAGGATGCCTCAAACACTGGCTGTGTGACCAAGTCACTGAATTTCTCAGGGCCCTAGGCAATTCTCTGAGATTATAAACTTTGAAGTTTATTATTATTATTGAATTTATTATTATTTATTATTGCCTGTCTACAATGGTAGAGAGAATTTTTTACCTCGAGCTCTCTATTACTGATGAAGTTACAGGCCAAATTTACAAAAACACAAAACAAAACAACTTTCAATGAAACAAAACTTTAATTCATTTTCCTTAAAAACATTCTTGGCTTTCTTCAGCCAGGAAACCAATATGCAAATAGCTAAACACCTCAAATTCTACTTATTTTATAGCTAAGGTTATTCAAGAATTAGCTGGCCTGAAATAAACTTTTGTAAGCTTATGTTGGGGATATTAATTTGCAACTCTTAAGGTATCTTTTCTTTAAAAAAAAGTTTTCTTCAGAATGTGAGGGAGCTTTCATTTTTAATAACATTACCCTGTAATGGAAGGCAGCTCTTATCTTGCTGAATTTGTAGGCAGATGGGCACTCTCCCAAGTTTTATAGATGGGAAAGTGAGCCAAGCAAAGTTGCTTCCTAACTAATATCAATGAGTTCCATTTTGAAGCCAGCTATGTGAATGAAGGGTCACTGAGGAACAATACCCTATTGCCAGTGATCAGATATAATATGATAGTAACAGGTCTAGTTAATGCCCTATACAAAGCTTGTTAGACGGGGCTTTGCTCTGGCTGTGAGTTGACTTGTTTCACAAAGCCAACTTTTGAGATTTTATCTCATCACAGGATGTACACCCAAGGTTCTTACTGAGGTGTAAACTGACCTTTTCAAAATTCAGTGAATTTCACTTTACAAAAAAAGGGTTTTGTGCCTTCATCAGCTGATTGTTAAAGTACTAGACTTTTTTTTTTTTTGCTGGTGTTCCTATCAATGAGTGCTGTTGCTGCTGTTACATTCATGACATTTGAATGAAGGAAATCTGTAAGAAATTTAACATATCTCATTATATGATAATTCATCTTTATGTTTCATTATTTTGTTCATTTTTGGACTTCACTAAATTAGCATTCTCCTTGATCATTTTAAAGTATAAGAAAGTACTTCTCATAGCGCAAAAATAATAATTGCTATTCTAATTTGTAACATCCTTAAAGTCATGAAAGCCTAAGCCTGGGAAGGCACAAATTAGGAAATGGAAATATATTTTTTAAATCATGGATTCTTAACCTTTTTATTATTTCACAAACCTCTTTGTGCAACCCACAAACTCCTGAGAATGTTTTTAAATTTGTCAAATAAAATACATAGTATTACATAGGAAACCAATTACATTAAAATAGCAATCAATTCTTTTTTTAAATCAAGCTTATGGGCTCAAGGTTAAGAATCTCCATTTTAGGTGCAACTAGATGGCACAGTGAGGGAGCACCAGCCCTGCAGTAAGGAGGACCTGAGTTCAAATGTGGTCTCAGACCAAACATTTGACACTTACTAGCTGTGTGACCCTGGGCAGGTCACTTAACCCCAACTGCCTTGCCAAAAAAAAAAAAAAGAATCTCCATTTTAGGTCATTATTAACCATGTTATTTTACATTTGTCAAGTGCTTTATAGTTTTCAAAATATTTTTATATCTAAGCCTCAAAATAATTTTGTAAGTGGGTAAGGCAAATATTATTTCCCCAACTTACATATGAAGAAACTGAGGCTAAGCTGAGGTAAGTGACTTGCTGAGGATCACAGACTAGTATGTGGCAGAGTCAGTGCTGATGCTTAATATCTTGTAATACTGTATATTAAATTAAGCAATATAGTTTCTCATGTGTTTAAGTGATTAGAAGGGCATCAGCTGAATGGCATTAGGGATTTCTCCCCTCTTCTTTCTCCCAACACATGCATTGACAGTAGAGAGTGGTGAGAATATTCAGTACACTACTGCAACGGGGCTTTACAAGGGGAAATAAACTCTAATAACCTCTCTTTGTTCTTTCACATCCTTCACTATTCAACTCACATTCATCCTGAATGCAGCATTGTTAAGCCTTTTCCATTCTCTGGCATGGGCATCTGTTTGTTTTAAATTTAATGCTTGATAAATTGAGAACCAGTATCATACAGTGGAAAGAATAATGGATTTGGGGTCAGAGGACCTGTGTTCCAAATCCCATCTCTGCCTTTGTGACCTTGGACAAATCACTTAAGGTTTCTGGGCCTCAGATCTTCATTTGTAAAATGAGGGAATCAAGACTAGATGATCTCTAAGGTACCATTGAGTTCTAAATCTATGATCTTGTGAAATCTTGATATTGTTACCCTGTGACTGATTGGTGGACATTTAATGAGGAGTTGGGCTAGAAGTCTTCAGCTCTTCCTGCTGAGAATGTGGCTTGATCATGAGACTCAGCAGCCTCCAGCAATCTGGACATGGAATGCCATCTCCATCCAGACCTCTCTGGCTGTGTTTCTTTTTCATGACCTGGGTCACCCTAAACTCTAATGGAAGAGTGGAAAGACATGGGGTTCTTCTTGCCCAGACTGGATTCTGTTTATACTGTAAACAGAAGTTACATCTCCTAGTTGGGTGGGGTTCCACCCACGATTGAAGGGCATGTTGCTAGAGGGCTAGGAGTAATCTGATCAACCAGCCACGTACTTCAGAGATGAACTGTCCTTTTTAAAATGGAATATTTCATTTTTCCTTAATTAAAAAACAATTTAAACTAAACAATTAAAACAATCTTTAAACTTTTTTTTTAAGTTTTGAATTCCAAATTATATCCCTCCCCACCTCTCTCTAAGATGATAAACAATCTGATGTGTTATATGTGGGCAATCATGTAAAACATTTCCATATTGGTCATTTTGTGCAAGAAGACTTGAATAAACAATTTAAAAAAGGAAGGAAGGAAGAAAGAAAAAGAAAGAGAGAAAGAAATGGAAGGAAGGAAGGAAGAAAAAATGAAAAATAACATGCTTCAGTATGTATTCAGACACTATCAGTTCTTTCTTGGAGGTAGACAGTATCCTTCATCATGAGTCCTTTGGGATTGGATGGACTGACTTTTTATAGGAGCTGAACCTTGAAAGAAAACAGAAAAGGCTGGAACCCAATTTAATAATTAGTTATTATTACAGTAGTATAATAATAATTTCTTTCAAGAGGAAATCAAGGTATAGCATTCTAGAACCATAAGGGAAGAAGATCATCAAGTCCAGGAATCTCAAGCCCCAAAATCTTACCATGATTACATTTTCCTGTGTGTAGTTCTTTTAAGGCATAGGGGCCCCAGTTCTGTATCCTTTGTTCAGAGGAACATGTAATTAAATTAACAAGTCTTTCTGAAAAGAAAAAAAATAGGCTGCAATTCTAAAAATAGAAGACTGCTAAAAACTTAAACCAAATGTGAGATCTGAGTGAGGCCAGTCAGTGAACTGGTCCAACCCCTTCATCTTATTGATGCAGAAATCAAAGCTCAGAGAGATTTTTGGTCCTAAGGTCACACTGCTACTTAATGGAAAATAGAGAACCAGTTTTCCAGACTCCAGATCTAGACACATTTCTCCTACGACACATTGACATAGAATCATGAGTTCAGTGGTTTTCAGCCCTGTTTGCTATAGCTGAGATTCATGGAAACCAGGTATTTGTTTCTGACCAGGCTGAGCTTAATGAACTTGTTCTGCATTCAAAAATTCTGTGGTCCACTGGAGAAGTCTGATTAACGGAGAAAACACACACCAAAATCTTGGTTATTTTTGGGTACCTCTTCCTCTTGTTCTTTCTTAAAATCTCATTTCCTCTATTACCCATTTAAAATATGCTTTCTCCTGCCTCAAGTGAAATTACATAAAGTAAGATTCCATAAAGTTCACAATGAATTTACATAAAGCTGATTGCATAAAGTGTTCCAATACATATCAGCACATGGTGAGATATAATAAAAAGTTTTAATTGAGATTCCCTCCCTTGTGAGTTGCTCTGCTTAAAAGTGGTTCCCAGAGAGCAGAACTATGACCAGTCTAGCAGCTGGTGTTCCACTGAGTAGAGTGCTGGGCCAGGAGTCAGAAGAACCAGAATTCAAAATCAGCCTTAGACCCATATTAGATAGCGGTGGAAATCTAATGAGATATTCATTCCTAGAAGTATTCAAACCAAGGCTAGACAATCACCTATCTGGAATGTCATAGTGAAGATTTCTACACAGAATGGAAAGTTGAAACAACTAACCCCTAAGATTTCTTTTATGAGAACCTCTACCTCTATGAAAATTCCTTCTATGAAAGTATGAGAGTTTGTGATTCTGTGACATCACTGTTCTGGAGATTATTTTTGCCTCTTATTAGAGAGATAATTTAACATATTGGCCATTTGCATGGCCATATATAGAATCTAACAAAGGAAATTCTCCTACTGGAATATCTCCAATACAAATTGCACTTCGGTGCCAAGATCTCTTGGGCTGACTCATATTTAATTTCATCATTGGAAGGAAGGGGCAAGAAGCATGTAATTGATAAAGTCTCTTATTTCCATTTTTTTCTAAGAATTTAAAAATGAATTTCAGCATGACGAATGGTCCCTAATTTTCATAACTTCTAAACCATTAAGTAAAGGAACAGAAACATCATACTAGCTATTCTATTTTAAGTTAAACAATTACTCATGTCAGACCTTTACTGGCTTTTATAAAGACTATACTGAGCAATTTAGAATAAAGTAAGTTGTTTACTCATGACTTCCCTGGATGGCTGTTCATATCTTCAGATGTTTTCTCTTAAGTGATTAATTTGGCTTTGCACACAATGCTTTTGTATTCTTTCACAGTCTGCAGCAATGTGGGAATGTTATCTGTTTAAACTGATTAGAGTTTTTGA